TAGGGAAGACACTGATCCAGATGACAGAAGAACATTTAATATTTCTTGAACATGAGATACTGGGAGTTGGTCTTAAGCTCTTCCTCTCTGCAACACCTCTTCTCCCCTATCTATTGTCATACCCACCCAGTATTACAAACACTGGCCCTTTCACACAATAACAAATGTTAGCAGTAATAGCATTTGAATAGATAATATGAAAAGTAGAGCATGCTATAACTTTAATTTAAATGGTTGTGTCCTGACCTGCTTTTCTCTGCCACATTWTTCCACCTCAAGCCCTAAGGAGTGGAGCCAGCCACCTATAAACTGAGACCTCTGAAACAGAGTTTTTCAAGATGGTAGAATTGAGAAGGTCACTTTCCTAGCTGTCCCATTGCATGAAACCAAGAAAGCAGATAGGCAGCTTCTCAACAAGGTCAGTGAAAAAAGGATGGGGGARTGCTTTACTGAAATTTAATATTGGACATGCAAAGTAGATCAGGAACTCAGGAGGTTGGATATAATAAAATAAGAATGAAATACCCAGGGCCATCATCATTGCTATGGCCAAAGACACCATCCAGAGTGGTCCCTTGGCAAGCAAAGTGGAGGGGTAAGGGAATTAAAGAAACCTACATTTTTAGGAGGCCTAAGGTGTGTTTGGGTATGGAGAGATCAAAGACACTGCCTGACTAAACTGAAAAGTGTGGGGCACAATATCCTTGTGCAGAAAAGAAACTTCATTTCTCCCAGCTGCCTGTGGAAGAGAGAGGAAGGAGCCATTTTGCAGCTGTGGCATAGGGGCCAGCAGCTGGGGGAGTCTGTTCCCGACAAACTTGGGTTTGGCCTGAATCACAGGCCTGACAAACCCACATGAAATGACATAGAATGTGCTTAAGTTAGGTTAAATCAAATATGGAAGGAGCTTTACACAGGGCACAAATGGTCATGGAAACCCACCCAATTCCTCTATTCCCCTCCAATCCTGCAGTTTGCAAGACTGGCTGGGATAGATGTGCCTAGCAAGGAATTCAAAAGGGCTAAGGTGGGAGAAAGTAAACCCAGGAGACCAGGAAAAATGGGGTCCACAGGTGATGTAGAGGACTAAGAATTGGCTCCTCCACCACATGAGTGGGACTCATGGGAGATYCCTAGAGTATAGTCTTCCAGTGTGGACCAGCAACACTGGGCCATGATGGTGCACTGATTTAAAATCTTCAGACCAAGCAGCATTCAGCAAAAAGCCTGAAGACAATCTGAGCCTAAATAATGTAATGAACACTTTGATATATTCATATTCATTTTTTTCTCATTTCAACCTTTTTTGAAGCAAGTTATTTTTCATGAATCAGTATTTTGAGAACTAAGATGTTTGATTAGTATATTTTGGTTTTGCTATATATTCTTTTATTTTTAGTTTTTCAAAAATTTACTTATTTGTTTCATTATCTRTTTCCCTTGATTCTCTTTTCTTTTGCTAGCAGCCAATGTCTATTATTCTCCCTTTCACTCTGCCTTTAATTTTTTACTTCTATCTCTCCTCTTCTCTCATAATCATATCTTATATCACTTCTGTTCTCCCCGTCTATTATTTGAAATTGTAAACTCTTTTGCAAACTTACTATTTTTATTGTAAGCAATAACTCATCATATCATTTTTATTTAGTGTGATAATCAATATTGTAGACATYGGAGCAGAAACTATTTGCTTTAATGCTGATTTTTTTTTTTGCATTGGTTGTTGTTATTATTTGTCACCATCTAAACAGTGAAATTCTAAAATTCAGGAACACTAATAATCTGCAAGGTAAAAAATCTACACCTCTGATCCATACCCTCAGATGGGCAGACACACAAATAACATGACAAAGCAAGGGAATAAATCACCCCAAACCAACCAAGATACTTCAGTAACAGAATACACCAACATCACAGTGGAAGAAATGTCTGAGAAAGAGTTTGTTCATAGTTTAACTCATCTGTGAGGTAAAGGACAATATAAGGAGTGAAATCAGAGAGAAAATACAGGACATGAAAAATCGCTTCAACAAAGACATAGAGATTCTGAAAAAAAATCAAGCAGAAATCCTCAAAAATGAAGGAATCAATAAGCCAAATTAAAAATTCAATGGAAAGCATCCCCAACAGAGTAGGCCACTTGGAAGACAGAGCTTCAGGCCATGAAGACAAACTATATAATCTTTGAAAATAAAGTTAACCATGGAGATATTATGTTAAGAKACCATGAACAGAACCTCCAAGAAATATGGGATAACATGAAAAGACCAAATTTAAGATTTGTTGGGATAGATGAAGGCTCAGAGATAYAAATCAAAGGAATACACAATCTTTCCAATTAAATAATATCAGATGATTTTCCAAACCTAAAGAATTAAATGGAAAWTCAAATACAGGARGCTTAGAGGACATGAAATTCACAAAATTACAACAGAACCATACCAAGACACATTATTATGAAAATGACTAACATACAGAATTAAGGCTGACAGAGAAAAATGACAAGTTATATTTAGTGGAAAACCAACCYATATCTCATTTCTGAACCCAGACCCTCAAAGCTAAGAGGCCTTAGAAAACAATGTACCAAGCTCTAAAGGAAAATGGATGCCAGCCAAGAATGCTATAAATTGAGCTTCAGAATTAACAAGGAAATAAAAACTTTCCACAAAGAATTCACAACTAGAAAGCCTGTACTACAAAATATACTCAATCTAATAGCTCATAAAGAAGAAATAAAAAAAA